GGAAACAGCATGAGAGGACAGTAAAGCTACAGAGAAGGAAGGGAGGGTGCTTGAGGCAAACAGTCTTGCCCCAAAATAGAGCCAGCTTTTGGGGACAAGGCAACTTCCCACTATAGCTGTCTCCACACCACCAATATGAGACAAAGACTAGGGCTATGCGAAGCTTTGGTCCCCGATTCAATTCAGTGGAGATTCGGCCCAATTCGGCGGCTGAATCTCTGAATCTGAATCAAATCAGAGGACCCTTTAATCTCTCCAAATCGAATCGGAGCCCTCCGAATCTATTCTGACATAGACACAGCTTTAAATGTTTTTTCTACATAGCTCTAGGTAGCCGGTGGCTCGTGAGTGGTGCAATGCTGGGGTGCATGGAGTGTCTCACAGGAGCACAGGCGGCTCCCCAGCGCGCTCGGCAGCAACAGACCCAGAAGCAGACCAGAAGCACTTCTGGTCCACCGGGGAGCATACGGACCCCTCCCCACCCAGTACCCTCCCTTGGCTTGGCAACTGGTGCCTCCTGAGTGCGTGGGGGACACCCAGGGTCCTCCTGTGGCCGATTGCTAAGCTGGGGGGGTCCCCAGTGCACTCCCCAGCAGACCCGGAAGTGGACCAGAAGTACTTCCGGTTCAGTGCGGAGCACATGGAGTCCCTCCGCCCCAGCATTGCAGTGATCACAAGCGGCGCCGGTACCTCAAGGTACGTAGGAAAAACACTTAAAGCCGCGTCCATGTCTGAATCGCTGATTCTCCAAATCAGCATCAAATCTTCAGCTTCGGCTGAAACGAATCAGGGACAGTGATCTGAATCAAATCACTGTCCCCGATTCGGGCCGAATCCAAATCGAGTATGGCCTGCTTTGCACACCCCTAACAAAGACCCTTCGTAACAGCGTAGCTTGGCTACTCTGCAGCCACAGAAAAACCTGCAAAAGTAACTTAAATGTCATTAGAGAACAAGCAGAAGCAAACAGATTGGGAGAAAAAGGGCTCCCAACTATCCCAAAACACTGGGTATATACCTGGAGAACAATCCTTTGTAATATTTTTGAGGTGTTGGGTGTTAGGCATGGTAGTGAACACACACACACTATAGAAAACTGGTAAAAGCCAACACATTTGGGTGAACCCAGAGCACCATACTGTTGATCTTCCTAAAATCCCAAGGCGAGTCTCATGCCCAGTGAGGAGATCACAATGAACAAAATAGATGTTTGGGGTGAGACAGAAAAATGTTGTTCAGAACCATCTGCAGAATGGTAAAGCCAGCTCTGTGAAAGAAAAGCATCAATCAGACTGCAAAACACTTGATCAGGTATGGGGCAAGGGAAGCAGGGCAGATGCAGATACACAGGCAGATATGCACTGCTGCTGAAAGTAACACTAAGCATAACCAAAAGGAAGAAGGGTAGAGAAAGTGAACTGAGCTATTAAGAAATAGCATCCTGAAAAAACCTAGAAACAGAACTTAAGGACTGTTTTCACAGCAATAAATGAGATGCAACCTTATATTACATCTTTGTAAAACCACTTCTTTGACCCACCTAAGCTAGCCAGAATTGCAAAGGCTGCTAAGCAAGACCTCGGTTTAAAACTAAATGAAGCCTATGCAAAGCCATATGCTTCCAATGCACAAGCAAAGAGAAGTTGTGACAGCAGATGAACTATATGCTACACAGACCAGATGGAGCAGAGGTTTCAAAGGCGATGCAAGTGTAGTAAGTTTGATTTGTGCAGAAGTAAAGATAGTTGAGAAGCGCTTGCTCTCAGGGCCAGAGGCACAGCTCCTTTGGAGAATGTTTACTATGCCATTCTTATGAGTTTTCAGAGATTAAAAGGGTATACTGCTAATTGATGTAAACTTTTTTTAGCACCAACGTAAGAAGAATCAAGCAGTAGGAAATCAAATCTGCATAACTAAGTATATGCTGTAAAAAATAAGAAAGATTTTGAACCAAGAAACTAGTGCAGAGGCGATCTTAGGCTTTTTACTACAGAAGCTGGTAAAAGTGGCCAAATAGCAGTCTATCTTTAATACAGTTAAGCAGATAACATGAAGCAAATAAAAAGGTAAGAGGTCAAAGCCATAAAAAAAAGTCAGTAGTACTGGAGGGCTTGTGTATGTTGGAACGCCTGGAACTTAATCAGAAACGCCTTACTAAAATAGTTACAAAACTAAGCACCAGTTTTTTCCTACAAGGGAATCACTGAAATCAGTAATTACTTTTTATCTAAAGGTCCCATAATCCTGGGATCTCTAGATGCACATGCACTGGGTGCATGTACGCTTTTCAGCTTTCAATTCAACAGATTTTTACATCAAAGACATCCAGTACCAGAAATCAGGCTGAATCCATTCAGTTAGAAAGGGAAGAGCAAGTGGGCTCAGCATGTTTCTTGAGCATGCATGTTTCTCAGCATGTAGCCTAGAAAGCAACCCAGATATATTTCTAGGTTATGCTGCAAAGCGTCTCTCCTGTGCAGCCTTGAGGAGGCTTGTTCATACATGGGAAAAGGATTCTTCATGTCTGTGAAAAATATTAGACTCACTTTTTTTTTTTTTAAAGGGATGTTCAGTTGTTTTAAACTGGATGGTCATTTAAAAAAAAGTTTCAAGTCATCTAGGGTAAACATACAATTTGTATGCAGGCCACTGAGGAAACACCCCCATGCATAAAATTGGAAAAAAAAAAAATCAATTTATAAGGCAGCCAGATTTCCCCACATTTATATGCAACTCCATGAACATGTCTACTTGTATTGAAAAAGTGGAAATTCTTTCCCACTCAAAAGTGAACTCACCTTATTTTTTTTCAATACAGGATGGTAAAGCAGATGCTTTTTTCAGTATTCAAAAAATACTCAACTATCTGCCATTATGCTTAATTAAAATAGGACAGTGTCTCCAAGCCACAGATCAAAGAAATAAGGCTAAACAGATGCTTTTAACAGTAACCCACTGAAACTACATCAACAGTATTTTTGGAACCAAATACTCTACGCTAGATCCTTTTGATTGTGAATAGTCAAGTCAATTTAACGTTACTGAGAATCAGATAAGGCATTTATCATTTGAATTTCTTTGTCCTATTTTTTTTATAGTACACCAGCTAAGAAAGAGTAAAAGCCTTTAAAAAGACTGCCTTATTAACATATGAATAATCCCAGCTCCTAAAAGTTTACCGGAAAACACTACTGAAAAGGCAGCATAAACCCTAAGACTAAATAATCATCTGACAAAGAAAGGCATGCTACAAAAAGATTATTTCTTTATCAAGCTGATAGCATTCATGTTAAACATTAGAAGAGCTGAGACTAACTTGAAAAAGCTGAATATTTTGCTTTTGTTTTAACATATAAGCCCTTACTAATTGATTATTCTACACTTGTGTATTACTGGGCAAATTAATTGAAATGCCACAAGCCTAACAAATACTTCTTAAAAGTTCAACCATTCAGTGCCTTTGCACATTTGTCACAGCATGCCTACCATAAGAGAGAGAGAAAAAAAAAGAATCCCAAAAGCTTAACTGTGAGCTAAAACACAAGCCACGATATATTAAAAAAAGGTGTGGGGGGAGACCTTCCACCTGAGCAAATTTTCAGGCCATCATATTTTTATTAAAGAAAATAAAATAACTAAAAATCAGGATTGCAAATAAAAGTGATTCAAATAATAATGTCAAATATATGAATTTGAAAAGGCACATTAAAAAAAGTAGAGAACTGCATTTCATTTCTAGCCAGAATGGGCATCAAAAATATTTTCTGTACGGATATTCTAATGCGTAGATCTGCTAGTACTCCATGCAACTAGGACAAACAGAACATAACTTGAGGGCGAAAAGCGAGTTGGCTGCTTGCCATACAAGCAGAGAGAAAGAGGAGAAGATAACATTCGATTAAACAATAGTGAATAGGCTTTTACAGCTCTAATACCCAAATAATGAAGGATTTTTCCTTCAAAATATTTTTAAATGGTTAGCCAGTCTTGTTTTTAACAGAGAAATGTAAAAATGACCTAGTTGAAAATTATGCATTTGAACAGAGCATTCATTAACAAATGCTGGATAATTCCCTTGAATAAAAGAAAAATAAATAAGCCTGGTAAATGAAAGGCTGGGCCTCCATAAATTTAAGGCTACACACTATTAGCCAAATACCAGACAATACAGTGGATGTGAGCTTTGTCCACAAGGTTTAAGGGAGCACCTCTATTCTGTTTGCAAGTTGACATAAAAGGACTGACTAACAGCTTTGTAAAAATTAACACCCCTCCCTCCCTCCCTCACCACCATGGGAACCTATACCTATTTGTTACATT